AAAAAACTTCTTTTGTATTTTTTTTTAAAAGATTAGTGCCGTATCGAATTTATAAAATCTCCATCTCTCTCTACGTACTTTTAAAAGTAAAGTAAATACTTAGTACATATAATGGTGTACAGAATTTGTTGTTGTTGTGATGCTGCGTGTGGTGATATTTTATTACTAAAACAATTTTATCAATTGTATGTGTGATTATTTTTGTTTGTTTGTTTGCTTGTGTTTTTTTCTTGGGGGGGGGGGGGGGGTCCCAGAAAGCATTCCATGCAGTGTTAAACCATCTACGTAATTCTATACCCTGTGTGTATATATTTTTTAAGTAAAAAAAAAAAAAAAACACTTGAGGAATGATGGTATTGCGGCGATTGGGACTAAATATCTTTAAAATCTTTGACCCTCTAAACGTGACCCCTAAATCTAAGGACTATGATAGATAAAATATCATTACATTTTGACCAATTTTTAATTCCAGTACCTATAAAAAATACAAAACCGAAATAAAGAATTCGGTGTTGATTAATTGAAAATGTACAAGTAACGGTATAAGTTGGTCGCTTTTCGATCCTATATTATCAATCGGAGATACAGCCATGTGATTTATTGATTTTTTTTGGTATTCACAGTTACCTGAGTCTACAAATCACGTGATATATTGGAATACTAAACAGGTCACAATGAGGTTAATGACATGTAAATACCCGTAAATAGCGAAGAAAACGGTCAGCGTTTTGTACCTTTTTTTCAAAAAGTTTACCCCGAGCGCAGGCTTGCCCAAATTTCTCCTTTAAATATGTTGTATGTCCAACAGTTCTACACCTTCTGTCCTTTTGAAAAATTTGGGCAAGAATGCACTCTCCATGTATTCAAGCTTTAAAGATCGGAATAACTTTGAATAACAATGGAAATTCATGAATTGCAGTGACCCGTCTTATAAAACGCAGCCCCGTTCTTTATTTTAACTTACTTTTACAGTGTTTTAATTCCTGTAATTTTGCAAAGTTGCGATTAAGACCTAGAAGAATTGTTTTATTAATCAAATTAGGCTACTTTCTATACTTTATTTTTGCACAATTTACCGGGGGCCACTTTTTGTACACTAAGTGCAATCATTCTTTACTGTGCAAAAAAGCAAATGTTCATTTTGATAATAAATATCAAAAATCCGCATGAAAATACTTTAAAAGAAAAAACTTTTGGCACGCGATTTTTTTAACCCTACACTTTTTAAGATTGATCCTAAAACGTTTAGGAAATTCCGAGGGGTCAATGTCCAAAACAATGGGCATACAGAAAAACTTGCTAACCAAAAGTTATTCCTTAACAAGTATCTTGATGCGGATTTATTATCCATGTATTTATTACCAAAATAATTATTTTCATTTCTTTGCACTGTAAATTTATATACCGTCTCAAATATCATATCCTATTTGGGCAATTGGTCCCAATCTGGTAAAAGGCTAACTTATTTGAAAATATCCTTACATGTACAATTCAATTCAAGGGAATGCAGAAGCGATTCTTTTAAGGATGTTGGTTCCTCTGATCAAAAGTACTAGTGTTGAGACAGGGTATATTTCAAGCTATCTGGGCTCCTCCGAAAGTGTTGAATAATTATTAATGTGATAGGACAGTAGGATTTTAGCAGCACTTTTCATGGTACAGAGATGTTTTTAGATAACTATGACAACAAATTGAAATTAATTATCCCCGGGGTAGTGTTGAACTTTTCACTTTTTCATTAAGACATTTTTTTCTAATTGTAGACGTCACGTGGTTAAGTCGAGATGTATTGCCTCTTAAATTGTGGTATATGTCTCATTGACGTCTATAGAATGCATATAGATAGTAAAAGATTTATCCATGACTTTTCCTATTTATTAGTGTTACATGTTAAAAAAAAAGTGTCAATTCGCCGAAATCTGATCCATGTGCTGCCTTAACATACCCGCGCGGTTGAATATTGTTCAAATTACATCTAAAGAGAGATTTTGTATCCTAGTACAAAATTGCAAAAATTGAATGTGAAGAAAACGTTGGCCTAAATTTTGTATACTACCTTAATGTGCATGTATTATAAACGACAAGCTATTTAAAATCAAATTTATGACTTAAGTCTGTTTTCATTTTATAGGCGCCAAAAATATTGATGTAATTTTTCATATCACTATCTAAATTCGTACATTGTTTTCATTATGAGTACTATATATGTTCTAGAAATGATAAAAGCCATCATTGTTGAAGCGGTAAATAGCATTACGCAAATAGCACACGGCGGGTGTGACCGGTCGGCAGGGGATGCTCACTCCTCCATGGCACCTGATCCCACCTCTGATGTTTCTGGAGTTCGTATTTGCTCTGCTTTTATTTTGTACTTGTTTATGGATTTTGAGATTGAATACTGTTCGTTTTCACCATAACCTTCCTATTTGTGTTATAGATTTATTTTCTATGGATACACACATGCCTTTTGGAAGAACACTTTTCCGTACGAGTGAAATAGTATCCATATATATATTATTAACTGGGTCTTGCCTTGAGAGGACTCAATCTATTCATCATACATCTTTGATAGCATCGATATAAGTTACGAGAACAATAGTCCTGTCTTAGAAAATAAATTGGTAAGGAGGAGAGGGTTTCCTAAATGCCGTATGCGATTGATAATTGAATATTGCGTTACCCCATTTTAGGATTTCTTTTAGAGTGATATCCAAAAGACCCATTCCATTTTCTTTTAAATGCTTAAGACTTAGGTTGAGAACTGCTACTACCCGTGAGAAACAAGTTTTCGACGCTGCACTGGTAAAGAGACTGAATCTAAGAGTGCGAATTGAGCATCAAACCCTTAGGGCCCATTTTGTACCTAGGATGTTGTAGAACTCTATTAGTCCGTATAAATACGAAAACTTCTGATAGGCATAGTGAAAGAAACTGTTATAAATCTACTTTATTTTTATGTTGTTCCGATAGAAAAGAGGGGGAGGGGGTATCATTTTTTAAACATGTAAATACATGAAGTTTAGATAGCATTTTAAATAAAATATATCGTGCAACATGAGTAATTAAATAAAGGCAAAGGCATTTACGACGTTATTTCATTTTACTTAGAGCTGTATATTTTAATGTAACCCCTGAGTTTTATGTATTGACTATTTACTTGTGTGGATAGTCAATATGTATCTGCATTAATATTGTTAGACTGTTAATTAATTATTTATTTTCTGCAATTGTTGAATTTCTTTTATTAATTACTACTTTAGTTTTATTTAATCTCGATCAAAATCCATTCAGTGCTTTCAACATTTGATACATAGCTTTTATAGTTCAATAGTCGATAGAAACTAAAAAACCTCATTTCTTACATTTCTATGCAAGTTTCTGAATGTAAATGATCAAAAATTGTTTATGTATGTCAGAAACACACCAGACCTAAGCAATAAATGCGAAGATTTATTTTAATCTAATGCTAAAGATATTTTTTATGACAAGAATTCCGATGCATCCACATTTTGTAGATTTTGAATGTAAATCTATACAAAATTCACACCGATTGATGCTGAAAAAAGTTTGATAAGCATTTAATTAAAAGTATTATGTCATATTTAATTATATTGAAATTGTAAATCATTTCTGTGGATGTGGTACCTATTTTACGCATAAAATGTCCATGTAAGACATGTGGCCTACGATCAAATCACTTCAAAATATGATTATATATAACTCTTATTATTTCATTGAATGATGTTGATGTTTGTTTTTCATCATCGATCATCTAAAACACGTGCTTCAGAGATAAAAAAAAAATTGCCGTAAGTTAAAGAAAAATTGAGTGTAGGTCTATTCATATTAAAAAAAATTTTTCTAATTTATTGCTTAGGTCTGATGTGTTTCTGACATAAATAAAAAAATTTGATCAATTACATTCATATCAGTAAAAACGTAGGAAATTCAAACTTTGATCTATTGTATACGAAAAAGAAAAGGAAGTCATTTCAATATATTATGGAATGATCTCTGTTTTTATCTATTCATATCGTCCCGTGGGGATCCGGGTTAGAATAGGTCCTCAGTACCCCCTTGCTTGTCGTAAAAGGCGACTAAAGGGGGTGGTCCTTCGGATGAGACCGTATAAACCGAGGCCCCGTGTCACGGCAGGTGTGGCATGATAAAGATCCCTCCCTGCTCAAAAACCGTGAGTGCCGAGCACAGGCCTAGATTTGCAGCCCTTCACCGGCAATGGTGACGTCTCCATATCAGTGAAATATTCTGGAGCGAGACGTTAAACAGTATACAATCAATCAATCAATCAATCTATTCATATCTTTGGATTAAATTCATGCTGCATTTTAGTCTCTATCACGAAAAATAGTTTTGGAAAAAAAAATCAAAGTCAACGGAATACAGATAATTTGTTATGATCATAGTTTGATGATACTGTGAAATGACTGCTTTTGAAATTACGTTGTTTAAAGAAGAAGATGTAAATTAATTACATTGGCAAACTCTGATTTGGTCACGGCTGGGAAATGCATGACAATATTCAGAGACTCAGAAAACTTCATTTATTTCTTAATATAACCATTGGAAAACGGATGCTGGTACCACGTTTGTTAAAACGTCATTAATTTTCCCATATACTGAGTATATGAATGTCTTGAATATTTAATATCTTAAATATGCTACATGTAAGCAAATGATTCTTGTTCAGATTAAGATGACAATGATTCTACCAGGGAAGGTTGATAACCGACAAAATCTTAATAATACACTAATGTAATACACTTAATGTAACTTGATTAAGCTTAAAAAGTTTCTCTCAAAAAAGTTTTTTTCCCTAACTAATATATGCACTGTTCTATTATGATTTTTATGAGTCTTAAGCAATCCAGTCGAGAAGATTCCAGCTAGGTCATTGTTACCATAGAGTGGCAAATGCATATTGGGCACATAAAAAACTTTAAATCTTAATCCTTTTCACAGACAAAGGTAGCAGTGAAAGTTCAATTGCGATCAATCCAATATCCATTCTGACACAGAGCTGCACAATCCTGATTTCCACCACCATTATTCGGGTCACCCGTGTTCCATTTCCAATACATCGTACTTCTTTGCTGGGTCCAGGTAAACAGACACTCTTGATCTATATCACTTAACCCTATCCAGGTATTACAACATCTCCATATTTCCGAACAGGCAGCTGAAGAAAAAATATAAAACATAGTTACATGTAGTCTACTTTCAATATTAAAACCTTTATCACACACTGTACATTTGTATGGAAAAACTTTTCCCCAATTTTTAAAATGTTGTTGATGGAATTGTACACAGTAATGCATCATCAAATATGACTGTATTTGTATTATATTTTATTATACAAGCGGGATACATTTCTTTAGCAGTTTTGGGGCGGACAACGATGATCTTATTCATGCATGATTCGCCAATTTATGTACACATACACTATGCACACTGATTAACTAGATAAAGATGAACACAATTCGTAAAAGGAATTTCTCCACCATATTCTTTCATTACTGTATATTTTTTGCAAGTACTTTTTATCGCGTACTGGCTGTTCAACGTCAAATGGCGAGAATAATAATTCGCGAATGGACAGTTGATCAATAGATTTTAAATGGATTTCATCATCCAAAAAAAAAAATGATTCCTCGTGTATAATTAGGAATCTACAGTATTTCATTTTTATTTGATGCTTCTGTATAAGCCATTCACTTAGTCCCTAGTTCACTGTAATCACTTTTAACCTGTGTAAACGTATGATATATTCGTATGTTAATTATAAAGAACACCTAGCTGTTGTTTATCTACTGCAGATACCAATGACAAGAAAACAATCAGGTCTAACGAATTCGAATGAATACCCAAGTACAAAATATCAGAGGTAGGTAAGTTAGCATGGTATTAACGAGTCATATTCAGCTTTAACTTTTTTTCATATACATTTAAAATATCTTAAATTACTTACTAGAATTCCAAGGTGGCACAAAAACATCCATCATCCATTGGTTCTCTTCCTCAGTATCTATGGTAACCATGTTAGCACCGAGATTCTTACAGTGCAGCTGCAATATATATTTTTAACATTATGTATTAACTTTGCTAACGATTCTTGTGATGAAGTTTTATTTCTAATTGATTTATTTTTCTTTTTAAAAGATTTTGTCCACCTGTCAATTATCTTTAAGCTTGCAATTTAAAACAGGTTATTAAACGCTCTTCGTATAGAGTTTATCGTTTTTGTCAACAAACCTTGAGTATATTTTTTAAAGAAACTTATTTTCATTTTAAATTACACAATTTCAGCATTACTTATTGAACAAGACTGTGGTGATCTGAAACCGTTTATGTATATGTGTTTTAAGAGATTTAGCTGATTTGTAAAGTATTCAGTTATTAATATGGAACATGTTTTGAAAGGAAACTTATATGTTTATTTCATTATGTGAAAAAATGTTGTTCATGGCCTTTGTCAATAACTTAAGAAAATGAAAATATAAGAAACAAAAGATGATGACACAATTCTATATTTATATTTTATAAATGATTCATTTTCATCTTTCATGAAAAAAGATATCTTCTAATAACCCCTGTGTTGTTTTTAAAAAGATTATTCTTGAACTTGTTCATCATGATTTCTGTTTCCCAAGAATACCAGTTGTCTGAAACGATATTTTTGCAATAAGGTATGGAAAGTCTTTGCGTTCGTATGCTTCTAATCCTCAATTATATTTTCTTTCTGTCGTCAGAGGTCTTACGTAAAAATAATGAAATAACGACACTTCTGCAGGTTCATCATTGATCGTAGGGAATCAATGTTCGTGTAATTCGTTGGTCACTCTTACTCACGAATTTACATCCATTCGAACGTTTATTTCGTTAACATATTGGTCATTGAATTATCGTATAGGGAACCTTCGAAATAACATCCCCACGAACATGTAAAATTTTGCTTACCAACGAACAATGATTTCCACGAATCAAAATAATTCCATGATATCTATTCTATAAATAACAATTAGACAACATTTCCACAGTACAGTTAACCTTACTTCTGCGTTCGTCCAGTTCATAGTGGTTGGGATAGCGATGTAAAAATGCATGGCCATCATACAGTATCCATCCCGATTCACAGCCTTTAAAAATACAACAAAGTTACAATTTCTTACCAAAAATATTATTTCCATAAACTGCTTGTAAAAATCTATACTTTTCCTAATTTTGTGTCCTCAGTACTCATATTTTAAGCAACAACGTTCAGAAAATCAGGAAACCTCTTGGAATAAAAAAAAATATTTTCTCAATATGTTGAAATAAGTAAATGTGAAATCTTTTTAAAATATTGATATTGCTATTTGTTTTAAATCAGGATAAGTATAACACTTGATATGAAAATGTATCAGAAACAAACCATTGGTGTGCACAAAAAGTTCCCATCCTATTTCTATCTGACTCCTGTCAACTGACTGTTCATTAAGGCGAGACTTCAGAATTTTACAATTTTCTGTTGCATTGTTGTACAGCATTCCTGCGCAGTATTTGTCGTGTAATAAACAGAGAAGACCATATTGAACTCGACTAACCTTTTGTTGTGTTTCTAACATGTACACAGTTTCGTTCTTTGGTAGCATGTTTCTATACATAGAATCATGCTTCAGCACATTGTTATCAACTGCCAATATCGTTGCACAATGATTTATAAGATATGTGCATGTGCAGATCCATTTCAATTTTGTTGAAAACTTCATCTTTTCTAGAAACAGCGTTATTTTTGTCGTTGAAGAAGTGGTATAACTAAGTGAAAGTAAGATAAAGATGATAATGAACATGACATTTATGGTCCGAAACTGAATTTTTTTGTTGGAAGGTATTTTTCATTATGCTAGATTTCATAAAGTTAATTAGAAAAAATGCATCTTTTTAATATGGAAAGTAGTCAAACAGATGAAAAAATACTTCTATCATCTTGCGCTTTAGTGTCATATTAATATACATAAAACCAGAAGTTACACTGTTTCTGTATCTGGGCAATTTAAAGGTATTCTTTAAAATGAACGGATACAAAGACAGCTGCATTTGACGGGAATAAAAAAATATATGGAAACTGTCATAATATATTTCCCAAGAGCATATAAAAATCCTAACCAATTATTAAACATGTATGTAAATTATGTTCAAATTAATGGAATAATATCAAAATGAAGTTCTAAATCACTTTTAAAATAAACATTGTTGACACGTTATACAATTTTGCATTATACCAGTAACAAAGTAATGTGACCTTAATTTGTGCGAAAAACCATGTGAGTTTAAAAAGTGCGTTGAGCTGTAGTAAAACTTACACTTTCTCAAATGCAAATCAATTACAGTGGCTGGAACGTTAATGTTGACAAACCAATCGTGTAGAGTCGTTCGTGCATCGTGCGTGATCGTTCGTGTAACGTGCGAGATCGTGCGTGTAACAGACTCAATCGTTTGCGGTTTTAATTGTGCGCGAACGTGCGTTTAGAAACGTGTAAATTTCGTTTTGTAAGTTTTTATCGGAATGATATCTGTGAAACAACGGTATTCCGTTTATATTTTATTTTTTAATACATATAAAAGGAATAAAGCGCAGTTTACATAATTGAATGCGGAACGAACTAACTATCGCTTGTACATGTAAACAAGCAATATAGTAAGTCGTACAATATAATGTTCTCGTCAAATAGCGTGACTTATTGTGATAAACCGTACTAAGATGTTTTACTATATCTTTCTGAAGATCATTCTTGTTTGCTGCTAATTGTGGTAAGATATTTTTTTTTATTTTCAAATAATCAAAAAGAAATATTTTTACAAATAAAGAAATATTTATTTTTCAAAGCTTACATAAATGTTTAGTCGGCGAATGCACATGCACGTCACGCACATGATTTTCGGGGTTTTGTTTAACAGTGTTTATCTCTGTATCTTACTTTTAATTAATTTTTAAAGTAAAACAATAATTTGCAATGTCATTTTTCATGTTTCAGAGATTCATAAACATTTTGAAGTAATGAAACATATAGATATAACTTTTAAGTTAAGTCATTCCATGCATTGCTGCCATTTTTCCCCCATTCTACATATTATGAAATCCAATTCAATCAAATTTTACGGTCCACCTACTACTATCTTCTGATAGAACAAAAAAATCCGTTTTCTTACGTCGGAGAATTATCTAAATATTATTTATTATCTAAATTTAAATAATAAAAAAAAAAATCTTACATGTATTTAGTACCAGAAATTCCCATTTCCGTTTTTTTTTTTTTTTTTTCAAAGTCGATGATATAATATATTTATTGATAATACTTTGAATCTAAAATCAATATAAAGCCGTATTTCGTTTTGGCAATATCGATTCCTAAATAATTTGAACTATTTTGCGTGAAGAATCGTGCGTTTGCGTTAGCAATCGTGTAATATCGTGTAACGTGTAGAATCGTGAATGTGAAGGATCGATCGTGTATCAGGTTTGATCGTGCGTTAATCGTGCGGAATCATTCGTGTAACGTGATCGTTCGTGTAAGTTGTCAACAATAACGTTCCAGCCACTGTATATTGGTATGTTCAGTAAAGCCTCAAAAGAAATACAGTTGTGAAATATGACACTAGTACCACCTGTTCAAAAGTTATAGCTTAGTTCAAAGTTTTTCAAAAATAGGTCAAACTGAAGGATCAAGGTTAAAAGGTCAGAGTTGTTGGTGTACAATGAAAGGTCTTGTCACGAGAAATAAATATGTGAAGTATAGGAGCCCTAGCCTTTACTGTTCAAACGTCATGGCCAAGGTTAAAATTTTTTAAATCTAGATCAATCTCTAAGTCAGGGTCAAAAGGTCAATTTTCTAAGTATTCAATAAAAGATGTACACAAGAATTACTTATATGAAATATAAAAGTCCTAGCACCAACCATTTAAAAGTTTATGACCAAAGTCATAGTAAGCTAAGTATTTTTGTGTAAAAGTTTGTCAAACTTAAAGATCAAATTCAGAATGTCAAATTTGGTTGTACCCCAAAAAAGGTCTTGTCATAGGAACTATATATACTTGTGAAATATGACAGCCATAGTTCCACCCAGTCAAAGGTAATGCGCAAGGTTCAAGTTTTTGCAGAAAAAGCAGACAAATAAACAGCAGGGCAGACAGATGGAAGGGCAGGGCAAAAACTATACATCCCCAAATCTTCGCATACGGAACCATAAAAAATAGAAAAAAAAACATATTTATTCACATATCATTCATTATAATACTATGTCAATTATTTCTCTGGAAATTTAAAATACAAGTACTTATGTCTTTAGAATTCTCAATAAAAACGTATTTTGGGGATATGATCGAATGAAAATGATTAAAACAAAGTGTAAACGATCGAACTGAAAATCTGTTTGATATCATAAAATTGTGTCGAGGCAAAAACACTGTACAATGGATTTTTTTTTTAAATCAGACGCTTATGAGCAATATGTATCCCCTGTCGACTGGTCTCACACACTGAGCCCTGTGTGGTGATCAGGTGAACGGGGCATTGATTTCGTAGTCGTATTCAGTATAAAGAAAAGAGCTGAACAGGTCAGCCATGATTTAACTCCATGTTTTTTAAAAGGTCATAATAAGAACAATAAAACTTAAAAAAGTAGAGGTACTGTGAGCAATGAGCTCTCTAAATGATACCCCCGCCTTCAATATGAATATAATGGTAGTGTTCATGTTTTGCTTTGGAAAATCCAAAATATATGTCAGATCAAAAAGTAAGATAAGAGGTGCACAATGGCAATGTGTAATAAAGATTCTGTGAAAGTTTTTATTTAATTTCCTTCAGTGGTATGCAGAGTTGCGGATAAGATATGGGTACACCTAAGCGTAACAGACGGACGGACGGACATACCGATTACTATATACCCTCCTGCTTTTCAAGCAGGGGGTATGATAATAGGTAATTAATCAAGAACAATGATGAAAACGCATATTTTACGTTTTTTCTTGTATCTTTATATTGTAATGATTTGAGTCTATAATACTGGACTGGATAGATTACTCAGACGGTAGAGCACCTGACTATTAAGGGAGGAATATCGGTATCGTTTCCCGGTTAAGCCATACATTTTTCTCTTTCCTGTTACGGATGTTGTGCCGTTGACCACCCTGGACTTGTATTTAAAATCATTGCCGGGGGAAAATAAGAACTTTGGTTGTGTCTTCGAGGAGGGAGGAATGTAATGGTTAGGGTGTGGATATTGGCCAAGGTAGCTCCATCGGTAGATTATCTGGCTAGTAAGGTAATCATTTTCTACTTTTATTTTATTTTAAAGCAACGTAACACAATAACACAATAAGAGTTTTAAAATTCAAATGTTTTAAATTCAAATGTTACATAAACCTATAGTAACTATAAACTTACCTAATCGGGTTAAGCATGCAGACTTACCATGTAGATACACGTAAGTAGATCCAACTTTGAAGTATGAGCAGTTGTTTCTACTTCACCGCTTTTGACTGTGCAGATCGTCGTTATTTTTTGCAATCCAAGGAATTTGCACATATCGACCAGCAGAAATTCTTTTCTTTAAAGAGAACAATTCGATATTGATAACGATGGCAGTGTAATTTGTGTAAATTTTGCGACAGCGTGTATTAATGCCAACACGTGAATTTTAATTGGCAGTTACAATCTAATACTTAACAACCAGTTTAAATACTAACCAATTTTACTGTACTAATTACCTGACGTGTATGTACGTGTCAAGAAATCCTTTATGAAACAGTGTAAAACAACGCACATGATTTCATTTTTTCTAGAGAAGTGATATCGGGCTAATGAGGCAACACATTAACATTTTGTAATTTATTTTGGGGTAGGGAAATGATAATGATAACTAAAAATATATTAATTTATGTAGATTTGAAAGCTTCTGTAAGTGATATAACTTTTTTTAGCCGTTTTCTAATTTGATAAAGTACATCGTCCATTTAATCAAAGAATTCTTGATTCTTGATTTGAAAAAATAACACGCCATTAGTTTTATCCATTACATAACAAAGAAAAATGACTAATTTATTCATGTTAAAGAGAAAAACATAGCTTGAAGTAGTTAATCCTCTCCATGAAACAAAACTTATACAACAAATTATTATAATATTGTTATGATAAATTAAATTGGATTAAGAGATAGACATATCACGTACCAATATCTCTAACATTTTAGATAATACATGAAATACAAATCATAAATATTAACACAAAATATACAACGTACAAATGAACAAATTACAATAAAAAATAGTTAAAACGCTCTAAGAAACTATACATGTAAAACAGAGTTGATAATTATATAACTAATATATATATATTTTATGCTCGAAAAAATGCAAATAATTTAGCGTCTATCTAATCCGATATTATCTGTATGTTTTGCCTTATTATCAAAACACTCACAAAGGTTACAAACTGTAATCTGGATATTGTTTTTTATTTTCAACAACGGAAGTTCGTAATTGAAGATGATGTAGTTATGGACTCTTCAATGTCTTATTTATTTGAATTCGGATTACGCAGCACTGTTAAGACCTACAGTGCCCGCATCGTTATTCTTTACAGGATACACGATAC